GCGGGCTCGCGCGCGTCGTCGACGCGCTCGCGCGCGCGTGTGCGTCGCGTCCGACCGCGGACGCGGGATCGCGATGGACACCTCCCGTATACCACGCCGTGGAGCGCTATGTGATACACATTCTGCACGCATCGCGATATCTGTACGCACGATGTGTGTCACATGGCGATATCTGTGTCACACTACGGAACGGTCCCGTCCACGTCATCGATGACGAGGCCGACCGCGCGCGCGACGGCCGACGTCGACGCGCGCGCGTCGACGCCGCGGACGCGTTCGAGGAATTTCGCATCGCCCGTCGACGCGCGCGTCGCCGCGGACGCGGTGGATTGGATGGCCGAGGACGATGATTCCGATTCGAGCTCGATCGCGCTCGAGTGCCCGCTGGAGACGATGTTGGATCCCACGCTCGCGGGCGACGTGAGCAAGGCGTCGACGATTGAGTTGTTGTCGGCGATGAGCGCGCGGGAGTTGTGTCGAACGAGCGACGCGTGCGCGTGCGCGAGGGGGTGTCGGTTTAAAAAGTACGTCGATTGCGATGAGCTGTGGTGGCCCAAGTGCGCCGAGGCGTGGTACGAACCGGGAGAGGCGCCGCGGTGTCCGGGGAAGGCGCCGAAGGATAAGAAGAGTTGGAAGAACGCGTATCTGGCGTTGCGGCCGGAGGACGGGCCGACGCCGGCGGAGACGGCGAGACGGGAGGCGAAAATTGCAAAGCGCGAGGCGTTGATGGAGAAATGGAGGGAGGAGAACGCGGCGGGCGGCGGGGCGATGCGCGGTCGGGCGATCGGCGTGGGAGACGTGACGGCGCCGACGAATATGAGCGATAAGGCGGCGATGCGGGCGTTTTACAAGAGCGTGCGCGCGAAGCCGCGAGGTAAGAGCGCGCGCGGCTCCTACGCCCCGGTTCCGGGTCCGTTCACGGAGGATTAGTGGTTTTACTCGACGACGGTTTGCTTCTGTTTACCTAACTAGATTTACACCGATGACTTTGAACGACTAGTGGACTCGCGAGCCGTCTCGCAAGCTTGTAATTTTCTCAACCCCGCCCGATGCTAGAACGATTCCCGGTCCGTCACTTGAATCACATCGACGCTTCGGCCATCATGTGCGTCAACGATTTCACAACGGGCGCGGGCGACGCGCGAAGGAGCTCGTCGAGCGCCTCGAGGAGGGGCGCCTTGACGTCGCCGAGAACTTCTGTGGAATTGTCGACATTCTGACGAAGGCTTCCCACGGCGGCGAAGATCCCCTCGACCAAGGGATGGGCCGGACCGTCGGTCGGGCGAACGTCCTCTAAGAATTTTTTTAAAACCCTGACGTATCCGCACTCCCACATGAGCTCGATGCCCCACGACGAAGTCGTCACCATGCCAAAGAATGTTAAAAAGTGTTCGCCGAACCTCGCCTCGGCGTAATACCGCGTATCGCCCTCGCATCGATCCAAGAATTCACCGAACCAGTACGTCAATAATTTCTCCATTCGGTCCTGGTGAAGCTCTGGGGCCTCGATGAGGTGCGCGCTGACGCATTGGATCATCTTGACGCACACCAACGGGTCCACCTTCTCGCGATCTGACGTATCTTCAAACACCTCAAGTATGCTCGACGTAATGTCCGCGAGTGTTTCCACTATTTTCATCAGCTCGCCCGCGCTAAGACATCCCATCGCTTCGCTCAACGTGATACGACCGGCTTCCTCGCACTCGGCGACGTCCGCAGCGCCTTGAATGAGACACGGGAAGAGTTCCAGCGCCGTCGTCAAACCGTGGAACGTGAGCGCCTCCTTCTCCGGATCGAGCGGTTCGTCTTTAGAATCATCGGCATTAGCGTTCAATAGCGCGTACAGACCGACGTTGACCTCCACTCGCACGAGCTCGGTGAGGAGGCACATAAAGCTTGGCACCTTTTTCGTCGACCCCGCGCTCACGGCGCCCGCGAGGACGGCAGCCGGCGGTGTCGCCTTCGCGGCGTACAACCAAGGGACGGCACCACCCTCATCGTTCGCGTCCACTTCTATGTTCTCGCTCGCGAACGTGCCGTCGCTCATGCACCTCGCGACGTCCAGCGCGACGAATCTGTACACGCGCGGCGTGCGCGAACTCAAAATCACCCACAGTCCCTCGAGCAAATCCTGCCGCCAGCTCGGATGCTCGTCGTCCCACGTCTCCCAGAGCTCTGGCTCGCGCTGTAACACACCACAGAACAAGGAGTGAAGCGCTGCGAGCGCTCGGAGCTGCGCGCCATCGCCCGCGGTTTCCCTCAAGACGCGACACATTTCCGGCGCCGCGCGCGCGACGACCCGCGCGTCCTCCTCCACTCTCTCACCCCTCGTCAGCGCGCAGTCCACGACGTCGAGCGCATACGCGGTCAGACGCCCGATGATTTCGCCCTTTGTTCGCTTCAGCGCCTCCACCGCGGCCTCGACCAAGCGCTTCCCGATGTTCACTTCGCCGCCGCGCGCGCTCGCGCTCAAAGTCAAGTGCCGCAACGAAATCGCCAGCGCCGACGCGACCCCGTCGTCGCTCACACCCTCGTATATCCCACCCTCCTTCCGCATCGCCGCATCGCTCAGCGCGTCGATCCAGTACGCGCACGTCGCGCTCCGCGCGAACCGCGCGCTTTTCGCCAGCGTCTCGCACACCCTCAAACCCAACTCCGTCCCCATTCGCGCGTCCTCGCCCTTGGATTTCGGGCGCAGCAGCTCATCGATGAACTTCGATCCGAGCGCTCGCGCGATCGCGTCGAGATCGCGCTCGGCGATCTCCGACTGCGGTGCATTTTGGAGAATTTGCGCCGCCAAATACGCCCCCACGAGTTTCTTCTCCTTGCTCGTCGACGCGCACAGCTCCACGGCCTCCGCGAGGGACGGGGCATCGTCTCGCGCGACTTCTTCCGCGCGCATCACCGCCGCCATCGCCGCGTCGCGCGCGTCGCGCGCGTCGACCGGAACACGAACCGGCGCGAAGTGACGCGACGATCGGTCAAAACGCGCCTCGTTGCCATCGCACGCCGCTCGCGGGGCGTCGCGTCGCGATCGACGGCGACCATGGATGGTTTCGATCGTCTCCTCCTCGTCCTCGCCCTCGCGTACGTCGCGATCGCGCCGTGGTGCAAGGTTGAGGAATCTTTCGCGCTTCAAGCGACGCATGACTTCTTGCACGCGGAATCGACGCGCGACGTGGAGACGTTCGATCATCGGGCGTTCCCGGGCGTGGTGCCAAGGACGTGCGTTCCGTCGTTAGCGCTCGCGGTGACGTCTTGGGTGCCGGTTCGAGCGATTCAAATGATTACGGGCGGAGCGGCGGCGACGAAGGCGTCGGAGCAAGTGGTGACGCGGATGGTGTTGGCGTTCGTGTCGGTGAGGTCGTACGGACGGTTTAGAGAGGGTGTAAACGCTGCGTTCGGATCCACGGTGTCGGCGTTCACGGCGATCGCGTGTGCGGTAGAGTTTCATTGTATGTTTTACGCCTCGCGGCCGCTCATGAATGTCTTCGCCAACGCGTGCGCGATGAGAGGTTTAGGGTGGTGGATTCGAGCGACGGCGACGAGAAACGAGAGGTGCGTCGATCGCGGCGTGGTTTTGTTGACGGTGGCGACGTTTTTGTTGCGATGCGACGTTGTTTTGATGCTCGGCGCTGTTGGTTTGCACATGTTGGCGACGCGGTTGATTTCGTTTCGGCGAGCGGTGTGGCTCGGCGGAGGTACCGCATTGATGACGATCGCGACGTCGGTCATCGTCGACTCGTGGTTTTGGGGCGAGCTCGTGTGGCCCGAGGGTGCGGTGCTATATTACAACACCGCGCTGAACAAGAGCTCGAATTGGGGGACATCACCTTGGCACTGGTACTTCTCTTCGGCGCTGCCGAAGAGTTTGCTCTTCGCCTATCCGCTCGCATTGGTTTCCGTGTTCTTCGAGCGACGCGTTCGTCCTGTGATGTTCGTCTGCGCATTCTACGTCGGCCTTTACAGTTTCTTACCACACAAGGAACTACGATTCATCTTTCCGACGCTCCCGCTATTTAATCTTGCCGCGGCAACGGTTTTGGCGCGCGCGTGGAACAATCGAGCCAAGCGACCGCTCGTCACGATGTGCGCTCTTGGTGGTTTGTGCGCCAGCGCCGCGCTCGTGATCGCATTCACGATGGCTTCGGCGGTAAATTATCCAGGAGGCGAGGCGTTTCACCGTCTCCATCACGACGCGATCGTGGCGCCTCGACCGGGACGCGTACACGTAGACGTTCCAGCAGCAATGACGGGCGTGAGTCGCTTCGGTGAATCCGCGAGCGCTTCTTCGGGATGGTCCTACAGTAAAATCGAGGACCTAGACGTGGATGATTTCTACGATCTCGGTTTCGACTATTTGCTCAACGCGCACAAAGTTGTGCCCGGATACGACGCGGTGTATGTTGCGAGCGGATACGACGGGATGCGAGTCGATCTGCGCATGTTCCCACCGTTGCGCGCCAAGACGAAACCGGAGATCTTCATCCATCGTCGACGACGCGGCGCAGACCAGAGTTGATGCTAGAATTTTAATATGTACCGGTAGCTGTATTATCGGTACCTATCTCGACGATCGTCGCGTCTGTCGTCGCGACGTCGATCATCATACCTATCGTATCTACGATTGCTTTCTCTGTGACGATCGTCCTGTCTTCGATACGGCTCGTATCGTCGATCACCTCGTTCGCGTGAACCTGAACGTCGTCGACCACCTCCTCGATCGCGTCTATCACCGCGATCGGGCGAGCGCGAACGTCGATCGCCTCGATCTCGATGCCGCCTCGCTGCGTCGGATGCGTCGCCGATGACCAATCCGTCCGCCTCATACTTCACCAATCTCGCCGCGATCTCGTCACGAAGCTCCCGGATGCGCGACCATCCTTTATATTGTTTCCCAACGAGATGGTCTCGTCGCCGTTCCTCGGTGTCCGTCGAGCACAGGAGCGTGCCGCTCACCTCGCACGGCTCGGTCAAACGCCATCCGTCTAGCGTTTCGTACCTCCGCTTCACCTCATCGTGTCTCGTCTGCAGTGTCTCCAGGAGCGCCGCCTCGCGCTCGGCGCCATCCACGTCGCCGTCTTCTCCCAATTTCTCCGCTCGCTCCGCCGTCTCGGTCATTTTTTGTTCCAGCAATCGCAGCGTGTCCGCCTCAGCGCTCGTCGCGGCCTTTCGCTCCGCCTCCTCCCGTTCCTGCTTCGCCCTCGCCCGTCCGCGCGCGATCCGTCGATCACACTCGCGAATCAAATCATCCAACACGCTCAGAGTCATACGTTCGTACCCCGTTCGAGCGCGCTCGGCCGAGGTCGCGCGCTCGAAATCCTCTCGCAGGCCGTCGTCGCGAATCTTTTCGCTCGCGCTCGCGCCGACCACACGCAAAATGTCCCCGTCGCTCTTCGTGTTCTTGAAGCACGTGACGTCGAATCCGCAAAGGTAATACTTGCACACGTCGGCGTCCTGCGAGGCGCTCGGCGATGCGAGGCGTCAGTCGATGGTCCACACGTCGCGTTCAGGTGAGTGGAATCAAACTTTTTGGTCTCGTTCGCCTCTCCCCCGCGCACGTACCGTGAAGTGACGACCTCGACCGGTTCGTTGATCGAGTGGGACATCGCGCTCGGCGCCCATGAGCTCGTCGAGCGCGGCGCGCGCGGCATCGGCCATGACGTGGAGAGTCGTGGAGTGACGTCGAATGGCAACGCCGGCACGGAGACCGCCATGGGCTAAAGGTTTTATGAGCTAAAAATGCGCGTGCTAATGCAGATGGTGCTAATACGTTCTCAGATCTAAGTGTTGCGTCGAGGAAGGAGACGACTGAGGGCGGGGAGGGATTCGCCTCTACCGCGACCGTCGGCGCCGCGCGCAACGTCCCAAAGGCGCTCGTCGTTTGCTGCAGACGTCGCAAGGGCGAGCTCCATCGCCGCGCGCGCGCGTGTGCGAGGACGCGATGCGTTAACGTCCGAAATCGTCTTCGGCGTGAGCCATTCGGGCGCTGGACCGCCGCAGTGTGCCAAGATGCGTGCGTCCTCTTCGGCAACGCCGACAAAGACAAAGTCCTCCGCGGAGCACTCTTTGGCGACGTCGACGTCTAACAAATCCTCTTCGACGAAGAGCGGGCAAAAGTAAGCGAGCATGCCGATGCGTTCGAGCCACATTTCGATAGTCTCCGTTGGACGGATCGCTCGACTTGCGTCGTCGCTTGTCGTCGTGCCACTCGCGAGGCGTCTCGCGTGCGCCTCCTCGAGCTCTCTCGCGCGAATCTTTATCGTTTCCCGGGCATCGTCGACATCGAACACATTCTTCTCGTCGATTTCATCGTTACCGTCCTCTTCGTGCGTCTCGAGATCGAGCTGTGAGAGCTCATGCGCGCACTCATCTGCGTGCGTCTCACGTTTGTGCACAGAGAAGCTCGTGAGGTCAACGCCGCACACCGGACAGGACACCGACGGTCCATCCGTGCCTTTCGGATCTAAAGACCACGGTCGGCGCTCAGGCGAGACGGCGGCGCGGCGCGACATGCGCGCACGCGCCGTCTTCTGAGGAGCGATGAGCGAAAAGTCAGTTGAAAAAGCGTCACTAAAGACGATGTCGACGCCAGAAGCGCACCAGATCAACTCCAAATTCCCATGAAAAAACCGCTCAGAAGAGCCTGGAGCGGACCACCGGCGACTAATAGTCGGCCGCTATCGTCCCACTGATGCGCCAGTATCGCCGGAAGGAGGCACGCGCGGGACATGTCGTCGAATGCCAAGCGCTCCTCGTCCTCCGCTGATAGCGGTACGCACAGATCTGCATTATGCAGCTCGTGCACGAATCCGTGCTCGTTGTTCAGATACCTACGCACGCGCTCATCGTAAAAGTATATCGTACCACGTCCACCCCCGAACGTGAGCAGATGCGACGATTGGGTGATCCACGACAAGCTTCTGACGCTGTTCATATCGTCAAGCGGAAGCGCTACACTCGCGTGAAGTCGACGTTCGCGAAAATCGGCGAATCCCACGTGCGTTCGAGAACCAACCACGACTGTTCGCCCGTTTGTCGCTATGCACGACGTTTCGAGGTACCCAGGGAACGGATACATCCTGACCAGTCCTCCGTTCATCCCATGTTCAATGTCAAGTTGATGCACGACGCCTCCGCTGGACACTGTCGCCAGATGATTACCGACCGATTTCACGCCTCGTATGCGTTCATTTTGAATCCCACACGAGGGATGGGGCACGATCGACTTCGCACATGCGATGTAATCGTACTCTGTGACGTCGCTCGCGCGAGGTAATCGCCATATTTTCACCGTCCCGTCGCGTGAGCACGTCGCCGCCGTGTCTCGAGAGCAAAAATCAATTCCGAATACCACGTCTTCGTGCCCTCGAAGCGCCAGTCTCGGAACGAGTGCGTCCGTGTCAACATCTCTAACGAAACTAACGACGTCGTGGTCGGGTCCACCACTGCACAGAACGTGCTCGCGAAGTTCCGAACACACCACCGCGTGCGCTCCTCCAGAACGTCTTCCGCACGGCGCCACCACGGGAACGAGGTCATCTCCCACATCTCGCGACGCCCCGATGACACCGCGCGTCAACGTCGCAACGAGCGATCGCGGTCCCGTAATTGACCTCCCCATCGACCGCGTCACGGGCCCGCGCGCCACGTTCTCGCGTCCGATCTCCACCTCGCGAAACCGTCCGCGCGCGCTCGATCGTCTTCGATCAATCTCCACCTCGAACAATTTGTTACACTTCGTCGACACCATCGCCGACGCGGCGTCCAACCAGCAACACCCAAACGCCTTATCGACGAATCCAAGCCCGTTCGCCTCGCGCGTTCGACCCTCGCGCATTCCCGCGTCCATCTTCAGCTCTCGGAACGATCGCGCGGCGAACGCCACGTCGCGCGTTCGCATCGCGCGCCGATTCCGCGCGCGCGCGCGCGTTCGCTTCAAAAACCAATCCCTCGACCCCGCGCGCGCTGAAAGCGCACGAAATCGCGCGATGCACGCGCGGCGTCGTCGCGCCCGTCTAACCGCCCGTCACCGCGCCGTCGCGCGCGTCGCGTCGCCCCGCGAGCGATCGAGCGCGACGCGAAACGTCGTTCTCGGAACACACGAAGAAATCCTCGTGCACCGCCAGCGTCCTCGCGGTGCGACGCCGCGACGCCGTCGCGCGCGATCGCACGCGACGCGCGCGCGCGCGCACGACGTCGTCGCGCTCTCGTTCGATCGTCGGCGTCGCGCGCGTGGCGACGCGTCGATGAATGATGCCATCATCGCGTGGTGCCATGAATGTGTGCGTCACTCCCGGACGCCCGTGAGACGCGCGAGCGGGCGCGCGCGCGCGCGGTGATGCCGCGCGAGACGCTCAAGGGCGCGTCGACCGCGGCGGTGGCGTCGGCGATCGATAAACGACGGAGAAAACGCGAGGATGAGCATCAATCGGCGCGCGAGGAAAATCTCATGGAAACGCCGCGCGACGACGCCCGCGCGCTCCCTTCGGGCGGTAAGACGGCGCTGGAGATCGCGACGATGTTGAACGTGCCCTTGCCGCTCGCCAAGTTCGGTATCGGTGGCGTTGACGATGGTGGGAGCGGCGCGTGCGGGGCGGAGGCGAAGGACGACGCGAGCGAGAGCGAGGAGTGGGACGACGTGTGCGGCGACGATTACGGCTCGATCGCGTACGAGGACGAGGACGCGGGAGTAGAGAACGGTGACGCGGAGGGGGGACGTGGGGTGAAGTGGGCGCGCGGGTCGGACGAGGCGGAGACGGAGAGCTCGGGCGGACCGAAACGGAAGAAGAAGAAGTACGTGAGGAGATTGAGCGATGACGAGCGCGCGGGAGTGTTGCAGACGCATCATATACACGTGATGTGTTTGCTCGCGCGTGGACGGCACGTGCGAGGGGCGGCGTCGTCGAGATTGCTTCAGGCGATGACGACGTCGTGCGCGCCGAGCGCTTTGGCAAACGCAGTGCAGGGGAGCGCGTCGGGTGCGCTAGAGGTGAGCGCGCTCGCGCGATTGAACGATTGGTTCGCCGATGTGATTGCGCCACCGATATCCATCGACGACGACGACGACGAGAAGAGTGGTTTGGAGAGGTTGACCAAGGATGCGCAGTGGCGTCGTTTGGCGTTTCGGTTGGCGATGCGGCGCGCGGGGATGGGATCAACTCGCGGCGGTGCGAGCGCGTACGCGGCGAAGCTGGCGCGATCGTGGACGCTCCGCGGTCGAGAAAAGATCAGCGAAGAGGAATCAGCGGCTCTATTTGCGTCAATTTGTCAGGGATTCGGAGTGGTGTGTCGCGTCGTATCGTCGCTCGAACCCGTGCCACTTCGAGCGAGCGCTACGACGCTCGAACACATGGGCGTTTTGACGACGCCCAAACCGCCGCCCGTCGTGAGAAAGGAAACTAGAAATACACATCGATTTGTCCGTCATTGGTGTGAGGTTTTATGTGCTAGGCACGACGAAAAGGGTGTCGACAAAAAGGCGACAAACGCGCGATGGGTGAGCGTGGTCCCGACAACGCGCGGGTCGGTGGACGACATGGGCGTAATTTTCGGCGAAAGAAAGCGTACGACGACCGCTGACGCGACATCTTCGATGCCGTACGTCGTCGCGTTTTATGGTGACTCTGGAGCGCGCGATGTGACGAGAAAGTATGCCGCCGCGTTTTCGCAAGCGCTGCATCATCGAACACCAGATTGGAAGTGGTGGGAGACAATCACAACGCACATGGATAGACTCCACCGCGACGCGGTCGCATGCGATTGCTCGCCCGAGCTTCGAAAACTGATCGACAGCGCGGACAAGGCGGAGCTATTCGAGATGGACACGCGTAGCTCGAAGGAGCGCGTGCCAGGAACGATGACGGAGATAAAAAATCATCCACTCTGGGTAGTCGAGCGCTTCTTGTCCCGCTCGCAGTGCATCCACCCGCGACATCCCGTGAAAGCGCTCATAGCGGGCGAACCAGTATTTCCTAGGTCGTGTGTCAAGGAGTTGAAGAGCGCGGAGCGATGGAAGAGTGAATGCAGACGACGCGTAATCGACGCACTGATAGACTCGCCAGTGCGCAAGATTCACAGTCGAGCTTTGCAAGCACGCATCAAACAACTCACGCGCGCGCGCGAAGGGTGGTTCTTATCCAAGGCCGAAGGGTCGAAGGAGCGTTTACAGTCCGAGGAGTGGCGCGCGACGATGTCCAAGGACGAGGAGTGCCCGCAAGATCCGCAAACTATTCTTGGTGATATTCCGCTCTACGGAGAGTGGCAAACTGAGCCGTGGACACCTCCATCCGCCGTCGGCGGCGTCGTTCCCAAGAACGACCGCGGGAACGTCGATCTGTACGGCAATGCATTACCTCCTCCCGGGACCGTGCACGTGAACTTACCGCGGGTATCGAAAACCGCGAAGTTGATGAACATTGACTACGCCCCGGCGCTCGTCGGGTTCGAGTACAAAGCTGGAGGAAAGACACTCCCACTTTTCAACGGCATCGTCGTCTGCGAAGAGTTCAAGGATGAACTGCTCAAGAGACACGAAGACGCTGAGGAGGCGCGTCGAATTACCCTCGAGGCGAAGGCGTACAAGGAGGCGTGCGCGCACTGGCGTCTACTTCTCGGAGCCATATGGACTCGCGCTAGACTTCGTGATGAGTTCCAGGATGGTGTCACTACCGAGGAAGCTGACCCGACCGCTCGCCGCATCGCCGCCGCTCGAGCTATGAATGAAAGGGATGAAACCACGACGGAGCGGGACGAGCGACTCGTTCTCGGCGCCGCCGCATTTGTTGAAGAATTGTAACATAGCATAGCTAGACTTAGCCGCACACGCCGCAGCGCATGCTCGCGAGACGTCGAACCCCGAGAGGTGAGTCCGACCCACTCAGGCTCGCGTGCGCGTGTGATAACTCCGGTACCGTCGTTCTTTTTTATAAATACGTCGCTCTGAGCGATCCGGTGTCGACGGCGCGGAAGATTTTGGATGAGTCTGCCAAGGGCGCACACAGCAGTGTCAAGGGAAAGATTCGAATCGCTCGCGAGGGAATCAACGCCACGTTCGCGGCGTCGAAGAAGGACGACGTTGAGGCGTTCATCGAATTCCTGGAAAGTTTACCCGAGTTGACGTGCTTGCGAGGGACGGACTACAAACGTGAGCCGGCGTGCTCGCACGCGTTCGGGACGCTGAGCGTTCGGGTGACGGAGGAGCTCTGTCCGTTCGGTGAGCCGGATCTCTCGACGACTGTCGACAGTGAGATAGAAATCACGAGTCTGACGCCGAGCGAGTGGGACGCGGCGCTCCGAGAGAGGAATGACGAGGAGTCCACGGTGCTCGATGTGAGAAACTTTTATGAGTCACGCGTCGGGCACTTCGACGGGTCCGTCCTGGCGCCCATTCGTCGGTTCAGCCAATTGAAAGAATGGCTCGCCAGAGATGATGCGCTCGATAACGTGGCCGGGCGTGACGTGTACATCTTTTGTACCGGCGGCGTGCGTTGCGAAAAAGCTGCGACGTATCTATGCAGTAAGCTTCCGGCGGATCGTCGGCCGCGAAGCGTTCGCAAGCTCGAGGGCGGAATCGTCGCCTACGCGAGAGATTTCGCGTCCTCCGAGGACTGTTTGTTCAAGGGATCAAACTACGTCTTTGACGCGCGAGGGAGCGTTTCGGTGAGTGACGATTTGCCGTCGACGTCCCGTTGCGACGGATGTGACGAGCAAAGCGGACGACTGTCGAAGTGTGTTGGGCGTAATTGCCACGTCGTTCTCATCGCGTGTGAGACATGCGGCGACACCGTGTATTGCTGCGAGAGCTGCCGCGAACAGACAGAGCGCGCGGTGGGGATCGAAAAGTTCAAGCGTCGCTCGTGCGAATGCGACTGCTTTGAGAGTCGCATTCGACGGTGTCGTACTTCGGAGGCGCAGATAGCATAGCGATAGTTTTCTTATTCCATAGGTACCGGTAGTGATGATAAAATCACACCGCGATGACATCCTCCGTGATGACCGTACCCACGCCTTCGTCGGTGAGGATTTCGAGCAACAAGCTGTGCTTCGCGCGGCCGTCGATGATGTGCGCGCTCTTCACCCCATTGGTGATGCTATTCATGCAGCACTCCACCTTAGGGATCATACCGCCCGCGATGACGCCGCCGGCGATCGCTTTGTGCGTCTCCTCCATTGTGAGCTCGCGGATGAGCGTGTTCGGATCGTCCTTGTCTGTGCACACGCCCGGGACGTCCGTCATGAGGATGAGCTTCTCGGCGCCGAGCTTGGCCGCAATGGCTCCGGCGGCGGTATCTGCGTTCACGTTCAACGCCTGTCCTTGAGCGTCCATAGCGACCGTGGCGACGACGGGGATATATCCTGCGTTCACGAGCTCGCGAATGAGCGAGGTATCTACTTGCGTTACGTCGCCGACGAAACCCAGTTCCTCGTTCTTCACCTTACCGCGCAACAAGTTCCCATCCTTGCCGCAGATTCCGACCGCCCTGCCGCCCGCGACGGAGATAAGGCTCACCAAACTCTTGTTCACCTTGCCCGTGAGAATTTGTTCCACCACTTCCATCGTCGCCGCGTCCGTCACGCGCAAGCCATTCAAGAACTTGGGCTCGATCCCAACCTTTTCCAACATCGCGTTGATCTCCGGCCCACCGCCGTGCACGAGAACCGGTCGGATGCCCACCGTGGACAATAAAACCAGATCCCGAATCACCGCCGCCTTGAGCGTCTCGTTCTTCATCGCCGCCCCGCCGTACTTCACCACCACGGTTTGCCCGGAGAAGCGCTGCAGGTACGGGAGCGCCTCGCTCAGGACCTTCACCCGCGTCTGGTTCTCCGCCTCCTGCTCCGCGCTCACCCCTATGGCGGCCGTTCGCACCAAGGCGCGTCGAACAACCTGCGTGTCATCGACGGTACGACCATTCGTCAGTCGACGCGCTCGTCGTCGCCCGCGCGCGCGCCCTAAACCTGAAATCACACCTCCCGACGCCTCGCGTCGCGCGCGCACCGTCGACGAGCCCCCCGAACGTCTCTCACGAGAAGCACGTCATTCGAGCTCTCTGTTCAGCTCGTTCGGTCCCGCATCCGTCGCGTATTCACGCGCGCGTGGGCGTTTTCTCGTCGCGTCACGCGTCTCGGCGTACCTCTCGACCTCTCGCGTCGTTCGCCTTGCGCGCGACGCGCGCGGGCGCTCGAGCGCTCTTCGCCGCGACGGTGATCATCGTCGATCGACCTCGCGCGTCTTCGACCGAACGCCCGAGCGCTCGAGGAGGGTGGACGCGAGGCGTCACACACTGACGCGTCGCGCCAAAAAGTGCGTTTTGAGCGAAACCATGGGAAGAGACGCCCTCGTCCTCGTCCCCGAGCTCGATCTCGACGCGTACGCGGCGCGAATGGCTCAAAGTAAATTATCGAGAGGTCACACCGGCGCGAAGAGTCGCTCGGAGCCGTCGTCGTCGACGAAAAGTTCGTCTTCACCGATCGAGGTGTTTCGCTGGCGCAAGGAGCCAAAGGTTTTGTTAATCGCCTTCGCCGACGCGGTGGCGCAACGACGGGCTTTGGGTCGGTTATCGATGTTCATGGAGGATCCTGATTTTCGTGGAACGGTCGCGGAGACGTTACCGAGCGGTGTTCGGGGTGGGGTGGCGAATTACAGCGGACACAACGCGCGCGTGAGAGAGACGTGCGCGTTCGTCAACGAGGCAGCGAAGTCCGCGACGGGGGCGTGGACGGAGGAGCGGGCGTTAGTGGAGGCTTTGGTGAAAGTTGGTATCGTTCGTCGAGAGAAGACTGGCGAATTCACGGTGGTCGAAGATTCAAAGTGGACGCGCGGGTGGGACGGCGGCGGTTGGAACGACGCAGACGCCGAGGAAGAAAACGTCGTTCCGGAGACGTGTTTGATCGCCGTGTGCGCGAGCGAGAACGCGTCGGAGGTCCAAGATGCATTGTTACACGAAGCGATGCACGGACTGTGGTACGCCAGGGAGGATCACGCGAGATGGTGTTATGACTATTATCGCTCGGACGCGTTGACGGAGGACGAGCGCGCGACGTGGGTCGACTTCTTACGCGAGCTTCGATACGACGTCACGAGTTTTGAGGTCGTGGTGAACGAATTTCAAGCCTACATGGCCACCGAGCGCGTTTTGTTCGGCCCCGACGCGCAGGCGAGAGGTTCGAAACGCTCGAACGCGTCCGCGGTGGACGCGTTGACGGAGATGCAAAAGAAATTTGCGCGCGCGGCGAGCGAGCACGTGTCGGACCCACCGCGATGTGGAACCCTTCGCGTCGTGTGGGAGTAAATTGGATTTCGAAATGAATCGTCCGATGTATTAGAATTAGATATTTGTATACACGTCGTCTTTCCGCCGCTGGGCGCCTCGAGGGGCGCGCGTTCCGCCGAGCGAAAAGGAATGAATAGAAATTGAATCGACGGACGTCTCTCATCGCGACCGTCGCGCGAGGACACATTAACTCGCGCTCACCCTACCTTGATAATGCGCCGCGGTCCACGACGGCCTCGAGCTCATCCCTCCCGCGTGCGTCGTCCGCGCCTCCGCCTCGACGTCGTCCGACGCCACCCCCAGCCCCCCGCGCCCATCCTCCTCCACCTCATCGTACGCCATCTCTCGCGCATCGATCGCCCGCATCTTTATCAACGTTCTCCCCGTCGTCCCGTGCGCCGTGTCCTCGGCGTTCTGATACTCGTACCCCTCGACGCGAAATCTCGCCGGCGGCACGAACCCACGAAGCCCCCACCTCGGTGACCTCGACCCCGCGCTCGCGTCGCCCTCGACGTACCCGACCGGCGCGTTATACGACGACTTATAATACGACTCACTCCGTCCACGCCCTCCAGTCGCGCGCGCGGCGTCGCGCGCGCCACCGTCCGCGCGCGCGTCCATGCCGCGTCGGCCCACGACCGCTCGCGGATAAAATCGTTTCGCCGCGTCCCGACGCGCGCGCGACGTGCGCGGCGACGGACTC